CATATCTTAGCTATTGTAAATAATGCTGCAATAAACATCAAGGTGCTTATATCTTTTCTAATTAGTATTTTTTGTTTTCTTTGGGTAAAATAGTCAGTAGTATAATTACGAGACCATAAGATAATGCTATTTTTAATATTTAAGGAACCTCCATACTGTTTTCCACAATGGCTGCACCTGTTTATAGTCCCATCAACAGTGCACAGGGGATCCTTTACCTCCACATCTTGTGTAATTTATTATAGCCATTCTGACACATATGAGGTGATATCTCATTGTGGTATTGATTTGCTTTTCCCTGATGATCTTTTCATCTTTTCATGTGTTTATTGGTCATCTGTATGTCTTCTTTGGAAAAGTGCCTGTTCATGTCTTCTGCCCGTTTTAACTGGATTATGAGGTATGTTCCCTCTAAATCTAGTTTGTTGAGTGTTTCTAACATGAATGGATATTGTACTTTGTCAAGTAATTTTTCTGCATCCAGAAATGGTCATATGGTTCTTATTTTTTCTCTTGTTGAAGTGATGTATCGCACTTGCTGATTTGTGAATATCGAATCATCCTTGGATCCCAGGAATAAATCCCACTTGATCATGGTGAATGATTTTTTAAAATGTATTGTTGAATTTGGTTTGATTATATTTAGTTAAGGATTTCTGCATCTATATTCATCAGAGATATTGGCCTATAGTTCTCTTTCTTTTGTAGTCTTATAATCTGGCTTTGGTATCAGGGTAATGCTGGCCTCACAGAATGAACTTGGGAGCATTCCTTCCTCTATTTTTGTTTTTTTTGTTTGTTTGTTTGTTTGTTTGTTTTATGATAGTCACACACACAGAGAGAGAGGCAGAGACATAGGCAGAGGGAGAAGCAGGCTCCATGCACCAGGAGCCTGACGTGGGATTCGATCCCGGGTCTCCAGGATCGCGCCCTGGGCCAAAGGCAGGCGCCAAAGGGCTGCGCCACCCAGGGATCCCTCCTTCCTCTATTTTTGGAATGGTTTGAGAAGTATTGGAATGGTTTGAGAAGTAGGTATTAACTCTTTGTTAAATGTTTGATAAAAGTCACCTGTGAAGCTGTTTGATCCTAGATTTTTGTTTGTTGAGAGTTTTTAAACTGCTGACTCAATTACTTTGCAGGTGATCTGTTCCAATTTTCTATTTCTTTTTGATTCAGTTTTGAGAGGTTATATGTTTCTAGGAATTTATGTATTTCTTCTAGGTTGTCCAATTTTTGGCATATAATTTTTCATAATATTATCATAATTTTTTTGTATTTTTGTGATGCTGGTTGTTATCTCTTCCTCTTTCTGATTTTATACATTTAGGTTCTTTCTTTCTTTCTTTCTTTCTTTCTTTCTTTCTTTCTTTCTTCTTCTTTTTCTTCTTCTTCTGACTAGTCTGTCTAAAATTTCATGATTTTTTTGAGCTTATCAAAGAACAATTTCCTGGTTTCATTGATCTGTTCTATTGATTGATCGAGTTTCTATTTCATTTATTTCTGTTCTAATCTTTATTATTTCCTTCCTTTTACTAGATATTTGGCTCTGTTTGTTTTTCTTTTTCTAGCTTCTTTAGGTGTAAGTTTAAGTTGTTTGAGATTCTTCTTGCTTCTTGAGGTAGGTCTGAATTGCTATAACTTTCCCTCTTAGAATCCCTCCCTTTTGCTGCATCTCAAAGATTTTGGATCATTTTCATTTGTCTCCACAAAATTTTTCCTTTCTTTTTTGATTTCATGGTTGATCCATTCATTGATTAGCAGCATGTTACTTAAACTCCATGTATTTGTATTCTTTCCAGATTTTTTCTAACACTTGATTTCTTGCTTCATGGCATTATGGTTAGAAAAGATGCATGATTTCAATCTTTTTTAATTTGTTGAGATTTGTCCTATGACCTTGGATCCCAGGATCTGCCTTCTCCAGATTAGTCAAGTTTTCAGCTACTGTTTCTTTAAGTAAATTTTTAGCCACCCTTTTTTCTCTCTCTTCTCTTTCTGAGATGCCTATAATGCAAAATTACTGTGCATGGTGGTGTCACTGAGTTCCCTTAACCTATTCTCATTTTTCATTATTCTGTTTTCTTTTTCCTGTTTCATCTGATTTTTTTGCATTTCTCTCTTTCCCAGTTCACTAATTATCCTTCTGTTTCATCTAATCTACTATTTATACCCTCAAATGAGTTTTTAATTTCAGTTATTGTGTTATCTCTAATTGGTAATTTTTATATTTTCTATCTCTTTTTTGAGGGTCTCACCCCAAAGGGTGGACCCCCCCCCCACCCTTTTCTGAAGTCTAGTGAGTACCTTTATGACCATTTCTTTGAATTCTCTATCTGGCATATAGCTTATCTCCATTTTGCTTTGCTCTTTTGCTGTGATTTTGTCCTGTTCTTTCATTTGCAACATATTATTCTGTCTCCTCATTTTGTTCCACTTTTGTGTCTGTTTCTATGTGTTAAGAAAATCAGCTACATCTCCTGTTCTTGAAAATAATGGCCTTATGAAGAAGAGGTCTGGTAGTGCCCTGTAGTGCCATGTCCCCTGTGCAACAGAACTTGGTGCTTCAGGGGTGTCTCCTAAGTGTGTTGTGTATGCCCTACTATTGTGATTGAGATATGTTTGCCTTCAGTCCAGTTGTATTCAATGACTCTCCCTGCCTATTGTGGAGAGTTTGGTCTCTGTCATGTTAAGGGGCAAGACTGGGCCTGCCTTAAGCTTGAATTGGGTCAGACCAGATGCCTACCCTCAGCTCACTTGCCAGAACTGTGGTCACACTGAACTGCAGGGTGCTCTCCTTGCATTGTCTCCTGAGAGGCTTTCATTGGTGGGTGGAGCCGAAAGTCAGACTAGATGCCTGCCTACAGTCTGCTGGGGTTGCAGTGACACCAAACTGCTGAACTCTCTCTTTGTGCTGTCCCTTGTAAGGTTTTTGTTGGTTTGTGGGAACAACAGTCAAATCAGATTTCTACCCCCAGCCCATTGTGGGGGCTGCAGTTGACCTGATATATGTGGTTATCTTCCCCTCTACCAAAGCAAGAGTCACTTTTTAGTGGTGGTTGCCCCTGTTGGACCTGCTTACGTAATGCCAAACTTGTTGCTCAGTTTTGGATGGACTCTTACCAAGTGGTGCTGGTCATATGCAATGGATACACAGAAAAGTCAGAGTCAGAGGTGGGTTTCTTTTTTTTTTAAGATTTTATTTATTTATTCATGAGAGACACACACACACAGAGAGAGAGAGGCAGAGACACAGGCAGAGGGAGAAGCAGGCTCCATATAGGGAGCCCAGTGTGGGACTCGATCCGGGACTCCAGAATCATGCCATGAGCTCAAACACTGAGCCACCCAGGCATCCCTAGGAGTGGGTTTCAAAGTGTTAGCAAGGTATGTTGCTGGTCTGCTTGTGGGCAGAGACCTGGAGGTGGTTTGGAGGAACTCCTACAGAGAGAGACAGGTTGGATTGAGCAGTCTATAAGAGACTACAAAGGCAAGGTGTGTTGTTAGCAAAGCTAGGTGGAGAGTGTTCCTGCTGGTTCCTGCAGGTGTTGGTGTATTCAGGCTGGGGAGTATGAGAGAGAAAGGTGCCAGCCACCTCCTTTGTTCTTGGAGAAGTCTCCCAAAGACCCCTGCCCTTCCTGTGCTTGCTCAGAGACTAGTAAATACATCTCCTTCCAGAATACCCCAGGCAGCTCTCAAACTGCTGCTTCTATGCTGTATCTTGGTGAGTTTGTTTGTTATGCTGGCTCTTTAAAGGCATACTCAGTTTCCCATTACCCTCAGACTTTTCCAGAGCCAATTCCACTGATTTGTAGGTTCCCAGTGAATAAACTCCACTAATTGGGAAAACTCACAAAATTAAGCCACTCTAGTTTTCAAAGCCAAATATTATGGCGATTTGTCTTCCCAGTACAGATTACACTTACTGTAGTGCGTGGTATGGAGTCTGCTCTTCTCCCTTCTCAGTACATACAGTGTCTTTCCCTCCCATAGTCAGTCCTGTTGGTTGGTTTGGTTCTTTTTTTTTTTTGGAGGGGGGCAGCTGTCAGAGAGGGTCAGCTTGGTTCTTGATGGCATCTCCACCCTTCCTGCTGTTCTCTGATATGACCTCTTCTCTATAATTAACTGTGAGAGCCTGTTCTGCCAGTCTTTGAGTCATTTTCTGGGTTATTTACTGAAGTGGGTGTCATCTAGGACATATCATAGGACAAGGTGAATTTAGGATTCTCCTAATATACCATATTCCCCCAGAAGTTCTGATATTTTTCCTTATTTAAAAATATATACATAACAAATACTATTTTATTTTATTTTATTATTTTATTTTGGGGTTTATTTTATTTTTACTTATTTTTTATTTATAGTTGACATACAATATAATATTAGCTTCAAGTGGACAACATAGTGATGTTGAAATACATTATGAAATGAGCACTATGATAAATCTAGATACCATCTGTAAATATACAAAGTTGTCAAATAGGAACTATATCCCTATTGTATCCCCATGTCTTGCTGATAATTGGATGGAAGTTTGTATACCTTTTAAATGACTTCACCCTATTTCACCCATCTCCCTATCCCTTCTCCTCTGGCAATAACCAGATTGCTCCCTGCATTCATGAGTTGATTTCTGTTTTGTTTGTACCTTTGTTTTGTTTTTTAGATGCCCCACATAATTGTAAGATTCCATAAAAACTTGAAATCATACAGTATTTGTCTTTCTCTGTCTGATTTATTTCACTTAGCATGATATTCTCCAGACCCATCTATATTGTTGTAAATTACAAAATTTTATTATTAGTTTTATTAGTTCACTAATATTGTATTCTTAATATGTATTAATATATTGTTGATAATTATTAATGTTTTATTTTATATGTGATATACATCAGTCATAAAAAAGAATGAATCGTTCCATTTACAATATGGAAACATATACCACATCTTCATTATCCTTTCATCTATTGATGGACACTTAGGTTCCTTCCATGTTTGTTAAAAAGATCATCAATACAGTAGTATAAAAAAAGTGAAACCTTTTCCCAACTGTCATTTTTTTCTTCTCCAGAGTTTGGTATTTTTTGGTATTTTGATATTTTTTTGGTATTTCTTTCATATTATAGTACAATTTTATAGTACAATTTTCTTCCCCAGAGGTTAATATTTCTGGTATTTCTTACATATTATAGTACAATTTTACATTCATCAGTTTTTTTAGTCTCTCAATACTAGTTTTTGGGTATTAGAAATTCTGTCCTTCTAAACTTTTTGAAGGTGTAAAAATATCACACTTCATGTATCAGCTTGATAGCTTGATTTTATAGATACCTAGGAATAAACCTAACCAAAGATATAAAATATCTCTGCTCTGAAAACTATAGAACACTCATGAAAGAAATTGAGGAAGACACAAAGAAATGGAAAACTATTCCATGCTCATGGATGGGAAAAACAAATACGGCTAAAATGTCTATACTACCCAAGCAATCTACACATTTAATGCAATCCTTATCAAAAGTGCCAGCAGAATTTTTAATGGAGATAGAACAAGCAATCCAAAATTTGTATGGAACCACAAAAGACCCCAAATAGCCAAAGCAATCTTAACCATGAACTTTTGAAATGGGCCATGCCTCCTGCCTTCGGCCCAAGGTGTGATCCTGGAGACCTGGGATTGAGCCCCACAGTCAGGCAACCTTCATGGAGCTACTTCTTACTCTGCCTCTCTCTCTCTCTCTCTCTCTCTCTCTCTCTCTTTCTCTCTCAGTGTTTCTCATGAATAAATAAATACAATCTTTTTTAAAAATTGAATTTTATTTTAGAAAATATTCAATAATAAGAAAATGAAATATTGCAATATGCAATAAAGTGGGTCAAACTAGATTGTATCATATACATCTAGTGAAACATCCCAATGACTATATGAAGATCAGATAGAGTTTTGCCTCTTAATCTGGGCATATATGTCTGGTTTGGAACAAATCCACTTCCTCTCCGTGTAGTGCCTAGCGCTACTGGCACCTTTGTCATTCAAATAGGCACACTCTCCACCTCCTCTGATAGGAAAACTGCAATGGAAGAAGCAGAATCAATCAGTTTGCCACCAGATATCTCTTCAAAAGCAGAGAGGATAAAGATAAAAATATAAAGAAATTAATATTAAATCAGCTTCTAAATATAAAATTCATTACAAAAAAAATTCATTACACATACAATCTCTTTAAAATTTAAACTTACCCTCTGAGATATATATCATCTTTTATAAAAAAAAAACCAACAGATTTTTCCAAGATTCTATAACAAGTAAAACTAGGATTCATAACTAAATTGATGAAAATACAGGACACATGCTATTCACACTTTCTTCACTTTGGGAAGGAGCACAGAAAAGAAATGTTCCTATGTTACAGGTAATTTTATTGTTGTTTGTTCTTGTTGTTGTTGTTGTTAGGCCCTGATTTTCTCCTGTACTATTTATCAGGATTTAAATGGCCTGACACAGACAGCTGGGTCAGAATTTAGACTGTAAGTTTTTCCTCTGTACTGTTTGAAATTGCTATAGTGTGACATGCTTTGCCTATGCTTAAAACATGCTAGCACGTAATAAATAAACTTTTCACTTCTATAGTGATGAACAATTTCCAATTGAATAGTTAACAATATACTTTCTCCTTTAAACATTTAGAGAATTAGATAATGTAAACATTACTATTTCAGTATTAGAAAGGACGAAGTAAAAGTTAATCCTAAATATTTACCAAGTATCCACAACGTGCTAGGCACTACACATACAACACTGTATAAATATAAGTTCTAATTCCTAAAACTTAGTGTCTGTCCAAGATAAAAAAAAAAGCTAGTTGGTAAAATCTAGTTTTCAAAACCACCACTGGCCCTTTGCACCAAATAAAGTGATATTTCCAAAGCTGATTATTTTTCATAACCTCGTAAAGCAACATTTCAAAACCTCCTCGTGTCCTCGGATAAGAAAACATTTATTGAAATTGTCTAAATCCAAGTCTTTCAGCATTATCCAGAACTCTTCCAGTAATATAAAAATCCAATAGGTATATGAATGAGATTAAATTTGACAATGCCAAACTGTACTTGTCCTAGACATTATGATTATGATCTTACAAATAATAGATGCCATTACCATCACTCATCTCTATGAAAATGGTTGAGGATTGATGCAGTTATGGTTTAATATAGTAATTTAACTTGCATTTATAAAAGATTTTAAAGTTTAAACAGTACAGTCATATACATCAAAATCTCTGGTTCTCATATCAACCCTGTGAGAGCAATCGAGCAAGTACAATTAATTTTGTTGTAGAGGTAAGCAACAGTCTTAAAGATAGTATGTAGTTTTTTCAAAGTGAAAGAGTTGGCAAATTACACAGATGAGGCTGGAGTCAAGTTTACCATTCTACTATGCCACATATGATAGATTTTATATTTGGTTGGAGGAGCTTGCAAAACCTCTGAAACTTACAACTTTTCACTTGATTCCATCGTAACTAATCTTAAAATAAAAACGTTTAGAGCATATAAATGAAGAACTCATTTGGTTTCATGCAAAGAGCAAATTCAAATACAAATACTGCTATCATATTTTTCAGAACTTACCAGTTGGTCCATTCAGTGCCATTTACCCATTTCCATGGTTGGCCTAAATCTCTGCTGAGCCCAATCCAGTGGTCATAGGGGCCTTTATACCTCAATAGGAAATTCTTTCAGAAAAAAAAAAAAAGAAAAAAAGATTATATGCATTAACCTGTCATTATCTGGCCTCTCCCAGAAGTAGTGTTGCTTCTCTACTATATTCTTAACTCTCATAGTTTTCTTCTTTTTAATTTTGTATTGTTTAATAACACATAGAGAATAGATGTACAATATAATAGTAACATCACACATAAATATTAAAACAGAGAAATTGTTGATAACTTGTTTACTTTCAATTCAGCATAATGCCAATTTACGCTCTATTCCACAACCTGTTCCTCTATTCTATGATCAGTTTCCACTAGTATTATTTCAAGTTTGAAGTTGTTATAAATGCTGTTCTGACATTCTTGGCACTTGTCCTGGAATGAATTATTAGGACACAGTGAATGCTTATTGTCATTTTTACCAAATGACACCAAACTCTTTTATGATGTTATTGTAACAAATTATACTCACACCAGCACTACAGACTAGTTTTCCATGCCACATTTCTTGGTCTACACTTAGAGCATCTTTTTCTGATGGCAAGTATTAATTTCAATATAATTAAATGTATGATTTTCCTTTATGATTAGTGGATTTAGTGACATTTTAGGGAAATTTTTACTCTTTTAAAGTCGTAAAGATGATATTGATTTTTGTTTTGCCTTGAGGTATACAGTTGGGATATTGATTTTAGATACTTCTCTCTTTTTTTTTTAAGATTTTATTTATTCATGAGAGACACAGAGACAGAGAAAGAGAGGCTGAGACACAGGCAAAGGGAGAAGCAGGCACCATGCAGGGAGCCTGACGTGGGACTCGACCCCGGGTCTCCAGGATAATGCCCTGGGCGGAAGGCGGCACTAACCGCTGAGCCACCCGGGCTGCCTACTTCTCTTTTTTTCTTTGAGGTATGCATTTACAGCTATAAATTTCCCTCTTAGTATTTCTTCTACCACATATCATAAATTTGGCATGTTATGTTTTTATTTTATTTGTCTCAAAGTATTTTCTATTTTCTTTTGTGATTTCTTCCTTGTTCATTGGATGTTTAATAGTGAATTAATTTCTACATATTTGTGAATTTTCCAATTTTCCTTCTGTTGTGGATTTTTGGTTTCATTACATTGTGATTGTAAAAGGAGCTTTATATGATTTCAATCTTTTCAAATATATTAACTTGTTTTGTGGCCTATCATATGTTTTATACTGAAAAATGTTCCATTTGCACTTGAGAAGAATATGTATTCTGTTGTTGGGAGGAGCATTCTGCATGTCTTTTAGGTTTAATTGGTTTATAGAATTGTTCAAGATTTCTATTTCCTCATTGTTCTACTGTCTGATTTTTTTATCCATATTGAAAGTGGAATCATGAATCTATTCCCAAACAGGATAGTGTCCATTGTCTTATCTTCAAGTTTGCTGATCCTTTCTTCTTCCTGTTCAAATAGGCTTTTGACTCCTCTAGTGAGTTTTTCATTTCAATTATTGTACTTTTTAGCTCCAGAATTTCTATTTGGTTTCTTTTAATAACTTCTACCTCTTTATTGAAATTGATATTTATTGACATTCTACCTCTTTAATGATATGTCATTTTCCTGATTTCTTTTACTTTTCCTGTCTATGGTTTTCTTTAGCTCATTGAATATATTTAAGACAGTAGATTTTACATCTTTGACTAATATTTCCAATATCTGACTCCCTCAGGAATGTTCTCTGTCAGATATGTCTCCCTGTGAATGAGCTATGCCTTCCTATTTCTCTGTATGTTTTGTAAATTCTTTGCTCAGAACTGGACATTATGAATTTTTAATTATGCTAACTCTGGAAATATAATTCTTTTCTTCAGAGATTGTTGAATTTTGATTATTGAGATATGGAGCCATCTGTTTGTAACTTTTCCAAATAATTTTGCAAAATTTTGTGTATTCCCTACCATGTGTCATCACTGAATGTTTATTTTATTATTTCTATGGTCATCCAGTTACCTGCCAAAGATCTTCTTAAATGTCTGGCTCCCAAAAGGGGAAAAAAACAAGTATTGTTTATTTAAATCCTTTGGAAATCACTTCAGTTGGCAGGAGTTGAAGAAAAAAAATGGCAGCCCACCTCTGTATCTGTCCCTCAGTAATGAAAAGCAGCACTCAAAAATAACAACACACAACCACAATATTTGAATAATAATGTTCTTATTGGCCATCCTGGCTCCAGCAAGCTTTACCAGAAAAATGGCCAGAAGTCTTCATGGCTTCTAGCCATGATAAGGTGTAGAGAATGGTGGCCACTGAGTGAGGAGGCTGAAATTCACTGAGATGAAGTGAAATTTACTAACCTTATCATTAAGTTATCCCTTGGATGCTGCAAGACTCCAGAGTTCCAAATCAGTTACGTTAGAGAGTTTCTGCCAACTCAATTGATGTTTTGGTAGAGATTCCCAGAGCTTTCTACTCTGCCACCTTCTCTAAGATCATTCCTGCCTGGTTCATTTTGAAACAATGTTAACTTCGTACAAATTGAAAATTACATTTCCCTCTCTAATTTTTAAATTCTATTTGCACAATTCTTGCTCATAAGTCAAAGAAAGCATGGGCCTGCTCTCTGGCCACCTTCCTGCTGGATAGCCCACTGCAGAATGTAGCATCTGCTGGGTTTTCTCTCCTTATGTTAAAAATCAATGTCTAGGCAGGCATCTAAACCTGTATTTTCGACATTCTCACAAAGAATTACATACTACATTGGAGGGGGCAATTTTTTTATTCTAGACAGAACTATTTTCTTACCAGTTCCAGGAGGGTTTCAATCTGAACAAGATCAGCACCATATGAGTCACAAAACCTCTGGCTAAACGTCCAATTTCTGATGTCATCAGAAAAATAGAAACACTTTCTTTGGAAACCAATCCAGCTTTCTGGGCATGCAGCTTCAAAACACTCTGATGATGATATCTCATGCAATTTTCTTCTAGGTACTAAAAATAAAAACAACTTGCTTATATGTTTTTCTATATATATTACCAAGTGCTTTCTATACACTTTTCAATAGTCATGTGAAATACTAAATGTGTTATCCTTATTTTTCAAATTAGGAATAGAATCCTGAAAGTCACTGCATATATTACACAGCAAATGTCAAAGCTGAGAGTCAACTAATGCCTTAGTGGATGAATTGAAAAAAGAATTCATAATACCTTAAACTCTGGACTATATATCTGTCTAACTTGGATTTCAACAATGTTTGAAAACTTTTCTTAAAATATTAGGTACCTCAATAGCAAGATTTTATCAGCCTCAGAGAAGAGATAGTTTAAGAGCTCTAGATACTTTCCTAAATAAAATGAGGGGCAGGGTATAGATATCTTTCTGGAATAAAGTTTCTTAAGATGAAATAGTCAGATCCATGTCTAAATAGTCCCAAGAGGACAAAAGACATAATTTTACCCTGAGTTTCCTTCTACTAAGGATCTTCCTTCTACTAAGGAAATTTTGTGAGGTCTTCTATATTTTGAAGCTGACAAGGATGCCCACTTTCACCACTTCTGTGCAATATAGTATTGGAAATTTTAGCCAGAACAATTCAGCAAAAAATATATGGATATAAATATAGATATAGATATATAAAAAATATATAGCTCATTTTCTCTTTTGTTTCCCTTGCCTTCATAGATGTATCTTTCAAGAAGTTGCTGTGGCCGAGTTAAAAAAGTGTGTGGCCTGTGTTCTACTCTAGGATTTTGATGGATTAGGGTGGGAATGTGAACTGGTATAGCCACTCTGGAAAACTGTGTGGAGGTTCCTCAAAGGGTTAAAAATAGAGCTACCCTACCACCCAGCAATTGCACTGCTGGGGATTTACCCCAAAGATACAGATGCAGGGAAATGCTGGGACACCTGCATTTCTGTGTGGCTTTCTTACTAAGTTTTCACAAATGAAACTTGAATGAACGGGTTGTATGCCACTTTCTGTCCTAGACCTTAAAAGACCGTCCCTCCTCAATGCACCCTTTTCCTTCCTTTTGGGAAATCCTGGCTTGATAGTGACATCTTACAGAAGTCAATGGCATTGTAGAGAATAATGGAAAATAACAGCCCCACAGTCCTATTCACAAGTGACAGGATTACTGAAAGGTCAAAGAAGTTTATATTTTATAACCACCATGTTTTTGTATTCCTCGCTTCTTTAAAATATCATCTCAGCTTATATCCTCATTAATACATTGCTTAAAAATTACTGAATTCTTGGCCAATGTCCAAGCATAAACACAATGTCATAAATCATACACAATCAGCTTCTACAGCTCTATTTTGATGTGTCCTCCATTAAGATCTACATACATTACCTTTGAGTAATTTTAATTGAAAATGTAATTTCAATTATATTACACTCCTAAAACTAATATAATGTCGTATGTCAATTATAACCCATATATCCTTAATCTAAAGAAAAAAATTTAAAAGAAAATGTAATTTGAGAGTAAATTGTGTATATATATAAATATACAAAATATATAAATGTTTATAAATAAAATATATATGAATATATAATACACATATATGTATATATATATATAGTAAAAATACATAATAAAAGCCCTAGTAATAACATAAATTAAAGCACAATATAATTGGCAGCTAGGTTCTACCTTCTGCAGACTCTGGTCATTCTATTAAGCTTGCAATAATATGACTTCTATATTACACAATTAAAATCTTAGAACCTGGAGATCCCTGGGTGGCTCAGCCCAGGGCGTGGTCCTGGAGTCCCAGGATCGAGTCCCACATCGGGTTCCCTGCATGGAGCCTGCTTCTCCCTCTGCCTGTGTCTGCCTCTCTCTCTCATGCTCTGTGTCTCTCATGAATAAATAAATAAATAAAATCCTAAAAAAAAATCTAAGAACCCACTTATAAGTTTATTAGAATTTAACTCAATTGGCAATTGGTAAAATAAAAAAATCATTAGGAACAGGAAAATTATCAGTAAATTCTCTCTTCTTTTGGAAAGTGGACTTCTCTAGATGAAGAAAGATTACAATTCACTTACCTAACAAACCTGTTATAAGTCCAAGCACTGTAACTATCAGAAATATGAGTATGAGTATAACCAAGATTTGATTCTGGTTAATGTTAATAGAATGCTTTTTTGAAGACAGGTAATCTGGAAAAAAAAATATATTGAAAACATGTTTTTAGTTTTGTTTACATTAAATACAGAACAGACTTCAGACTACTAGAAGCATTAACTATCAAAATGTTACTTCCACTTCATTCCTTTTCACTAGAGGGGACAATTGGCTTGTTATTTTGTGAATTTACAATTTTGCCTCTGGAGTTTAATTGTTTACAGTAGTTAAAATTGATACTAAGACAGAACCCATGAGGTGATCCCTGGGTGGCACAGCGGTTTGGCGCCTGCCTTTGGTCCAGGGCGCAATCCTGGAGACCCGGGATCGAGTCCCACAGAGGGCTCCCTGCATGGAGCCTGCTTCTCCCTCTGCCTGTGTCTCTGCCTCTCTCTCTCTGTGATGACTATCATAAATAAATAAAAATTAAAAAAAAAAAAGACAGAACCCATGAACAGTTTTGCTCCTGAAACCTAATTGCAATTCTCATTAACTTCCAGATCCAGCTACCAATTTAATAGAAATACAAGAGAGAAAATCATGTCAATTAAAAAGGAATAAAATCGACAAATTTCAGACTATTGGAAATTCTACATAATAAATTGTTTTGAATCTTAAAGAAAGGAGTGAAAAACAAATTTTAAAAAGCAATCATGGAGGAATCTTTTGATTAAAAGGGACTTACAAATCTTTTTTTTAAAATCAAAGTAAAGGGCAGCCCGGGTGGCTCAGCGGTTTAGCGCGGTCTTCGGCCCAGAGCCTGATCCTGGAGAGCCAGGATGGAGTCCCACTTCGGGCTCCCTGCGTGGAGCCTGCTTCTCCCTCTGCTTCTGTCTCTGCCTCTCTCTCTCTCTCTGTCTCTCATGAATAAATAAATTAAAATCTTAAAAAAAATAAATAATTAAAATCAAAATAAAGTGAGAAAATGATTCTCATAAAAGTCAGTTTAGTGTGATTCAAGGGAATACCCGGAGGGCTTCTGAGCAGGATAGCAAGCGTCTCCCCTGACAAAGATAGTATTTAACAAGGATGCTCACCTTAGAATAATTCATTAAGCTGTATATTTGTTTTGTAAAATTTTCTACATTTGTGTTGTATCTCAAACCACCCTACTTATCTAAAACCTCTTGTAAATTTTACCATTGGAACTGTCTTCTGACTCCATCTCTTGGCTACCACACACACTTTTAGCTACTTCATCTAGAGGTGTTCTTGGCTAAACAGGCATATTTTTCTCCAACATTCTATCCACACTAGAAAGCTTTTCATTAATGTTTCCCAGATTGACCAATGGTTGACACATACACAGAAAAGATGTGAACCAACAAGTGAGATGACTTTGGAATCAAAGCCTACAGAATTCTTAAACCTAGCCAGAATAATTGCCAGGTAAAAACATAATTGTACTTCAAAAATTTATATAAAGTCAAAAGTCTCACAACAAAATATTACTTTAAAATGTCCAGAATACAGTCCAAATTATTAAACATATAAGAAATCATGAAAATTCAACTTCCATAGGAAAGACAATCAAAAGAAGCCAATGCTGAGTTGACACAGATGTTAGAATTATCTGACATATTCTTTAAAGCAGCTGTTAGAAATACTCAAAATACCAAATGAATGAAGAAATAACTGAAGTCATTTAACACCCCTTAGTAAAATTAATTTTTATTCATATTTACTAATTTTAATTTCATAATTTAATTTTTAAATTAATATTTTAATTTTACTATTTATTAGCTTATTGATAAATCATTATATATTAATAATAAAATATTAATGTGTTTCAGTGACATTTTTAAATTTTTATTCTCAATCATAAATTTAACCTGACCCCATTCTCTTACATCTTTCTCTAATAGTTCTCTCTTGTTACAAGTGCACTTAAGTATCTGCATATTTTTACACATATTATAAATTAATTTATATCCTCTAGCATTCCATCTCTTATCCTTGAAAACACTTTAAAAGACTTAACCATTTTTCCTGTGTAGAAACCAGATAGCATCACCGCTATAACCTTACCACCTTAGTTCCCACATTCATTACATACAGTCCAGCTTCTTACTTGGGGTTGCCAGCAAGTCAACTGGTACAAAATTTTCCTCCACTCCAGTGCTGTCATGCATTCTAGGGCCAGTTTTTACAAAAAAAAACCACTCAGCGGGTGGTTTGAGCTCCAGAGTGAGACAAAAGGTCACATTCTGGCTAGAATTTCCTCTGTAACTGAAGATTTTGTTTCGCTTGCAGGCGTTTAAGAAAGAGAAACTAATTTGGTTAGGCAAATGACAGGAAGATAAAATAATTTTTAAAAAGGTCATTATAGCTAGCTCAGCTTTGGTGTGGGATAGAGAATACTCGTGAATTATGCAAAGAAGGTGAGAAATTATTCTAAGAATGAGGCAGTTGGTCCTCGGAGGCAGTGAATTTTAGGCAAGTAAAAGAACAGTAATCCTAATCTCAAATTAAAACCTATTCCCAAGAGCTCATCCTCCTTAAAAAAAAATTCCAGAATCTTTGCTGCTCTTCTAGTTACCCTGAAAACTCTCCAATTCTTGAAAAGAGGTTTCTCTTGTGTTTTGTTTTGTTTTGTTTTGTTTAAATCTTCCTCTTCTAGTTCTCAGCATAAACTTGGTATCTCTCAACTTGTATTAGCACCTACAAAAGTAAATATAAATTTTCAGGTTTATCCTTTTTGCATTTTTCATGAGTTTCTTGTCAAAGAGGACAGAAAATGAGCCTTGATAAATTTCACATTACCTTGGAATTCCTACACAAATGGCAGAACTAATAACAATACTTTTGCTATTATTATCATGGTGTGATAATATAAAACTACAGTTTGTTGTCACTTACCATGATATTTTTACTTTTATTTTATTTAGTCCTTGAGTAAGGACTAAATAATATGTCTAAATTCACAGTTACTGACAGACTCCATGATTAAAGGTTCTAACTTAGGAACTACTTTAAAGTAGCAGTTTTACTACTACTAGTCAGTAGTCAGTAAAGGTCAAATGTTGACTCCTGTGACATTGGTGAGTCAATCATACACTCAGAAAACCTATTTCTGAAACAGCTCCTTATTGTAAAAAAAAGAAACAGAAAAATTAGTTATGTTAGTCATGATGATGAATGAAACTGTGAGGCTGAAATGGCAGAGTGATCCAGTTGAAAAGAACTGTGTTCATCTATGCCTTCAGAGAAGAGAACATGAGGATAGTTGGGAGACTCCTGATATTTAAGATGCCTGGAACACAAACTGAAGGGTGAAATGTGAGAAAATAACTTTTTAATTAACACAAGGGATCTATGTTAAACTATGAATTTCATGACTTCTAAAAACTAAGATCCTGTCCACTTCCTTGTGAAGCACTATGTCTAAGAGCTGACACCATATTTTAAGTGTTTTTTTAAACATTTTTTAATTTAAATTCAATTTGCCAACATATAGTATAACACCCAGTGCTCATTTCATCAAGTGTCTTCCTTAGTGCCTGTACCCAGTTACCCCATGCCCCTACCCACATCCCCTTCCACTGCCCTTTGTTTCCCAGAGTTAGTAAGAGTCTCTCATGGTTTGTCTCCCTCTCTAATTTTTCCCAACCAGTTCCCCTCATTTCCCTTATAGCCCCTTTTACTATTTCTTATATTCCACATATGAGTGAAACTGTATGATGACTGTGCTTTTCTGACTGACTTATTTCACTCACCATATATACCCTCCAGTTCCAAACACATCAAAGCAAATGGTGGGTATTTGTCTTTTCTGATGGCTGAGTAATATTCCATTGTATGTAGACCACATCTTCTTCGTCCATTCATCTGTCAAAGGACATCATGGCTCCTTTCACAGTTTGGATACTGGGGACATTGCTGCAATGAACATTGGGGTGCAGATGTCCTGGCATTTCAATACATCAGTGTCTTTGGGGTAAATCCCCAGCAGTGCAATTGCTGGGTCATAGGGTAGCTCTATTTGTAACTTCTTGAGAAACCTCCACACTGTTTTCCAGTGGCTGTATTGATTTGCATTCCCACCAACAGTGCAGGAGGGTTCCTCTTTCCCCACATCCTCTCCAACGTTTGTTGTTTCCCATCTTGTTAATTTTTGCCATTCTCACTGGTGTGAGGTGGTATCTCACTGTGGTTTTGATTTGTATTTCCCTGATGGCAAGTGATGCAGACCATTTTCTCATGTGCTTGTTGGCCATGTCTATGTCTTCCTCTGTGAGATTTCTCTTCATGTCTTTTTCCCGTTTCATGATTGGATTGTTTCTTTGGTGTTGAGTTTAAGAAGTTCTTTATAGATCTTGGATACCGGCCCTTTATCTGATAGGTCATTTGCAAATATCTTCTCCCATTCTGTAGGTTGTCTTTTAGTTTTGTTGACTGTTTCTTTTGCTGTGCAAAAGCTTCTTATCTTGATGAAGTCCCAATAGTTCATTTTTGCTTTTGTTTCTTTTGCCTTCGTGGATGTATCTTGCAAGAAGTTACTGTAGCCGAGTTCAAAAAGCGTGTTGCTTGTGTTCTCCTCTAGGATTTTGATAGAATCTCGTCTCACATTTAGATCTTTATCCATTTTGAGTTTATCTTTGTGTATGGTGTAAGAGAATGGTCCAGTTTCATTCTTCTGCATGTTGATGTGCAATTTTCCCAGCACCATTTATTGAAGAGACTGTCTTTTTTTCCAGTGGATAGTCTTTCCTCCTTTGTCGAATATTAGTTGACCATAAAGTTCAGGGTCCACTTCTGGGTTCTCTATTCTGTTCCATTGATCTATGTGTCTGTTTTTGTGCCAGTACCACACTGTCTTGATGACCACAGCTTTGTAGTACAACCTGAAATCTGGCATTGTGATGCCCCCAGATATGGTTTTCTTTTTTAAAATTCCCCTGGCTATTTGGCGTCTTTTCTGATTCCACACAAATCTTAAAATAATTTGTTCCAACTCTCTGAAGAAATTCCGTGGTATTTTGATAGGGATTGCATTAAATGTGTAAATTGCCCTGGGTAACATTGACATTTTCACAATATTGATTCTTCCAATCCATGAGCATGGAATATTTTGTTGATATGTTCTACAGTTCTTCTGGTCTCTATGTCATGGAGTTCTGCTCTAATCTTTATTGTCTCTCTTCTTCTGCTTGGTGTAGACTTTCTTTGCTGTGTTTCTCCAATTCCTTTATGTGTGAGGTTAGCTTGTGTATTTGAGTTTATTCAGTTTTTTGAGGGAGGCTTGTATTAAGATGTATTTCCCTCTTAGGACTGCTCCTGCTGTATCTCAAAGATTTTGAACAGTTGTATTTTCACTTTAATTACTTTCCATGAATCTTTTTAATTCTTCTCTAATTTCTTGGTTGACCCATTCATCTTTTAGTAGAATGTTCTTTAACATTCGTGTGTTTGATTTTCTTCCAAATTTCTGCTTGTGGTTGAGTTCTAGTTTCAAAGTATTGTGGTCTGAAAATATGCAGCGACACTCCTGTCTTTTGAGACTGATTTGTGACCCAGTATGTGGTGTATTCTGGAGAAAATTCCATGTGGACTTGGGAAGAATGTGTATTCTGTTGCATTCAGATGGAATGTTCCGTATATATCTGTGAAATCTATTTGGTCCAGTGTATCATTCAAGGCCCTTGTTTCTTTGGTGCTGTTCTGTTTAGAAGAGGTGTCATTGGCTGAGAGTGCTGTGTTCCAGTCTCCTAGTGTTAGTGTATTATTATCTAAGTATCTCTTCACTTTGGTTAATAATTGATATACTTGGCAGATCCCACATTAGCGGCATAGACCCTCAAGCATGATATAGTGTTCCTCTTCATCTCTTACTATAGTCTTTGGGATAAACTCTGATGTATCTGATATGAGGATTGCTACACCCAGCTTTCTTTTGAACCCTTTGAATGGTAAATGGTTCTCCACCCCTTCATTTTCAGGTTGGAAGTGTCCTTAGGTCTAAAATGAGTCTCTTGTAGACAGCAAATAGATGGGTCTTGTTTTTTATCCAGTCTGATACCCTGTGTATTTTGATGGGATCATTTAGCCCATTCACATTCAGAGTAACTATTGAAAGATATGAATTTAGTGTCATCGTATGACATGTACTGTCTCGGTTTTTGTGGATTGTTTCTTTGGCTTCCTCTTTCTTTTATAGGGTCCACCTCAATATTTCTTGCAGAGCTGGTTGGTGGTCACATATCCTTTCAGTTTCTGCCTGTCTTGGAAGCTCTTTATCTCTCCTTCTATTCTGAATGAAAGCCTTGCTGGATAGAGTATTCTTAGCTTCATGTTCTTCTCATTTAGGATGCTGAATATATCCTGCCTGCCCTTTCCGACCTCCCAGGTCTCTGTAGAGAGGTCTGCTGTTAATCTGATACTTCTCCCCGTAGAAGTTAAGAATCTCTTCTCTCGAGCTGCTTCAAGAATGTTTCTCTTTATCTTTGAAATTTGAAAGTTTCACTATTAAATGTCAAGGTGTTGAACAGTTTCTATTGATTTTGGAGGGTCTTCCCTATCTTTTGGATCCGAATGCCTGTTTCTTTCCCCTGATTAGGGACGTTCTCAGCTATGATTTGTTCAAATATACTTTGTGATCTTCTTTCTCCTAGCCTCTTCTGGAATCGCAATTAGATGTATATTCTTCCTTCTCAAGCTATAATTTATTTCCCTAAGCTTTTCCTCATGGGCTCTTGATTTTCTCCTTTTCCCTCAGCTTCTTTCCTTACCATCAACTTGTCTTCTATGTCATCACTCTTTCTTCCACCTCATTAACTCTAGCACTTAGAGGATCCAGTTTGGATTGCATCTCAGTTAAAGTATTTTTTATTTCAGCCTGATTAGATCTCAATTCTGCAGTAATGAAGACTCTAGAGTCCTTTATGCTTTTTCCCAGAGCCACCAGTACCTTCATAATCGTACTTCTGAATTGAATCTCTGACATATATTTAAATCCATGTTTAGCAACTCTGTGGCAGAGATTACTGCTTCTGGTTCTTTCTTTCATAATGAATTATTCCTTTTAGTCATCTTTTTCCAGTGCAGAGTGGCTGTATGAATGAGCTGAGGTAAAAATATCAACCACAACCTAAGTAAAATATACCCTAGATGATTCCAAAGATGTCAGAGACTAGAAAATAAAAAAAAAAGAACAGAACAAAATAAAACAAAAGGACCACTAAAGTGAAAAACAAATTTTAAAACAA